GCTTACACTCCTCCCTGTTCTACCTTCGTTGAGCTAGAGCTTTACAGTAATCCCACATCGAGATGAAACAGAGGAGGCAGAGACTCCTTGCAATGGAGTATATACTCCTTGGAATCCGTGGCAATCCAGTGATGCTATGACCTGTGTTTCAGGAGATCGCATCAATGTTCAGTTTAGTTTCAATGCTTAATATATTCAGAGTATTCATTATAATTTTGTGCCAATATACTGTAAAAAAGAGGCTCAGTCGCTCCTAATGGCGAGAATTATCCAGGAGCATACTTGCTACAAGATGAAATCATTAATAGGTACATTAATCTCAGCAAAATGGTTCTTTGTAGACTTTTGATTCAAAGGGTTTTCAAATCAATCATCAGTCTGTGCCTTCAAAATAGAATGAGGCACCTAGACAGAGAGGGTTATGAGCTCAATCTGAAATCATGTAGAAAAAAGTCATGTTTACCTTTTTGAGAAATGACTTGAATATCAGACGGTCAGTAAGTTTAGTCTACTAACGTTGTTGAAATCATCGCCGCAGTCATTTCCAGACATTTTTCTAAGGAACAGCTGCAACGTTTGCCCACTTTATGAAAGTTAATACAAGCCTGTGTCTTTTGGAGCAAAAGGAGTCATGGAGAAGCTTAAGAACGCTGTTTTGATTGCTACTCAGTAGAATTATGTATTAATAAATGACTTATTAACAAATTCATATTTTTTTAGTTGCTGGTGGGTTGCTGTATGGGCATCACAGTTAGTCAGGAAGAAAAGTGTGCATAGCGGTGCCAGACATTGCTGTGGTATCTGACTCTTTGTACTGTATGCTGAGATTAAGAAAACCAATTTTCTATAAACCTCAAAGTGCACTGTGTGACCTCCCCAGCAAACTAACATCACTATACAGCATGCGGTTGGGATTTTAGCTGTAGGTCTATTTATCTCCCCTTCAGGGTTCAGGGATCAGGGCCAAGACTGAAGCACACCAGACAATGGCAAAATGAATCCTATAAAAATGAATGTCGTGATGTTGGTCTCTTTTAGTAAAATGGGTAGCTGGCAGTACAGAGTTAGGATTTAACCTCTGTAAACAGTCTTTAGGCGGGACTTTGGGTGCCAGACGATTTCTGGTTTTCATTTGTAGTCTGGAAACAAAACATGGAAGGCACTTGCTGAAATGCAGACTAAAAATTTCAGGCTACAATCTAATGATAGACTTTTGTTATTTTATTTTAACTTATCTGCATTTGCAAACAATGACCTTTGTATGGAACAGGTCTTGGGTTGCTGCATCTGCCAGAAACCCAAAATATTCGCTCTTGTCAACAGAAGCTAAGCCAGACGATGGCAGGCAGTTGCTGCACTGATTGAGCTCAGTCTTGTTTAGCCGTTTATACAGGGATGCTTTAGTAAAAACCCCTAAACACCATAATTGAGTCCAAGAACAAAGCGAATGTTGTCTTGACCCTTTTATTTATTTATTTATTTATAATAATGTTGATTAAATGCACAAACATTCAGGTCACCAAATAGATCTGTAAAGTTCATTTTTACCCTTGAAATCAAATTTTATAATAGTGGCGTTCAATTCAAATATATTTAACTAGCCCAGCATCAGATTCTCTCTTACTCAGTAGGCGAGACACACTTTACCATCAAGCTGTCTCAGCACAGCGAGGTTAAACGCATATTTGCAGCTAATTAGAAAAATTTCCTAAATACCACAATAAAAAAAAGCACTTCATGAAATATAAAGGAATGATTTGCATTCTGACAGCCAGCAAAACAAAACAGTCAAGCTAAAGAGAAGAACACAGCTCTGCACAACTGCAACATGATTTCTGTAGCTTGACGGTTAATCATCCAAATGCAACACACTAAATCACTCTAGCAACGAAGGGAAAAGGTGCAAGGACTTGAATTTGGTGCTATAGTCGAGTGCATGTCCTTTATATGTCATTCACTTATGACGTGTAAGTTATTTATAGTCTCTGTCTGGGAAATATTCACAGGGAACTGTCTGACCTAAGTGCGCCGTAGCTGACCACCTGCCTCGGGTATGAGAGCTGAAATCAGGCAGGCATTGCCAATTTTATTGAGCCACACAAAGAGCAATTAATCGCGTGTCGTATCGTGGGGCAAAATAAAAATCACAGCAATTCTCAAAAACAGATACTATCGTTAAGAAAACACACCCGGAGATTTCAGTCTAAGAGAGTGAGAGCTACATTAAACTCCCATACAAACAGCTGGATTTCTATCCAATTCATTTTGTGTGTGTGTGTGTGTGTTTTACAAAGACAATTAATTCTGAAAGCTGTGTAAACAACCTGTGGCACACCCACTCAGATCTGTTTTATAACGCTCATTTTGCTGCCAATTATTTCTTACTCACTTTGTGGTTGTAAAGTGCTCGTTGTGTGGATGCTGCACATTTTGAAAAAAAAAAAATACGCTTTTCATCTCTGACCTTCAGATCTGTGCCAAAGTTAATTAAATTCTAAAGGCCTTCATCAAAATGCAAATGCTCACTTTAAGCAGGCCCTGAATGAACCGAATGAACGTCGCGTTGTCAGTATTCGTTACAATTAAAACAAAGATTTAATTTCAATCCTGTGAAACTAAATAAACAGGGATCATAGGGAGGCACAAAGTGCAGTTGCCATTGATTCAGCATGACGCGTTCATGGGATAATCTGGTTTCCGCTTTGGCTGGTGTGCAGATGGCAGTGGGAGGGGAAAAATGGGGACAGACAGGGCATAGGGCTGGGAAGGATATTCACCCCTACATAAGCCCTACTGTACCGTGCAGCCAGTCTGTGCATCCCAGTGTAGCTATCCGACAAAAGCAGGACATTGCTTGCGTGACTGCACTGTATGCATGCCTGTAAAGAGTTATAAAGAAATGAAGGCAGGAGGTGTAGCAGTAAGAAGTCATGCCTTCCACCTTTATTATCCATCATCGCCCCCATCGAGATCCAGGCAGGTATCAGGATCTGTGTGCTACAGACTCAAATGAATCTCCACGCTCAGAGCATCATAGAGTCGCCCTGATAGCTTTCAAGTTTCTGTGTGCTTTAACAGAGCGTTGTACTTGGCTGCATTTGGCCTCCTGCCTGCAGATACTGTTTCAGATTAGGTGTGGTTAACGTCTCTTGTCCTCACGTGCTTCGCTCTTGGCAGGAAACCTGCGTTGAGAGGATGCCCTGCTCTGAATCTGGGAATCTGGGGGAATGGATCATGGCTGTGTATTAATAGCAAATCACTGCACAATGCTTCACGCTTTTACTGCAGAGAAAAAGATGGACAGAGAGAAATACACAAGAAAGGCACATAAACACTGTCAGATAGAGATAGAGACAGAGAGGGAGACAGACAGGGAGAGACAGAGAGAGGGAGGATTAACTTCTCATCCAGTCTTTGCTGTTGCATAGATTGTAAGTAGCTTATTGCGCAAAGCAGCCTGCATGTAACCGGTGCGTTCGCATGATTTGTTTTGGGAGGTTTTTTGTGTGTGTGTGTGTTCAGTACATCGCTGACCTCATGCAGGCAACTAAGAGCTTTGGGCCTAAAATAATCAAACTGGAGAATCTGGCAAGCTGTGCTCTACTAAGAATGCATCTGAAGCTACAAAAGGGCAACAGCTTTACTTGCGTATAGACATTACTTTTTAATCTTTAATGCTGAAACATGTAATTGGGCGCAGTAAATATCAGAGAACAGAGATCCAGGCTGTGCTTTTTCCAGCAGCCTCGGTCAACATGAAGCCATGCAGGGGCGTGGTTCCTGTAGGCTATAAAACTCAACCAACACAATTTTAAACTTAAATCAGAGTATGATCATGATTCATTTATAATTGCAGTACGTTCACATTTTGCATTGCAGTCTAACTGCATGCCAGAGCAGACTTTCCTGTTTAATACATTTTATTGAAACATGCTTTATTTTAATCGTCTATTTCATTTGACTCTTTTAAATCTTATCTGTAGATGCCTTTTATCATTGCCTTGCAGTGGTAACATATTTCATCAAACAAGGCCTTACATGTCTTATTACAGTAAGCATGCAGAATTGCCTTTTTCTTTCTTGTTTCACAGCAATTTCCCACAGTGTGTTTTCTTTGTAAAAGAAGACTTGTGCATCTGCGCTCTGTGTTGTATATATAAATGTATAACCGAGGAGGTAGAGTGGACTGGCTTTGCAGTTTCATACCTGGTATCTGCTCGTGGGTTTTCATATGAATGGTTGACAAATTGCTTTTTAAAAAGTATTCAAGGTAGATTTTTTTTCAAGTTTGCAGTCAGTGCAGATTCTTTGTGGACAAAAGCCACACCTCCTGCTGTCACCAGACAGCAAGTGACAGCAGGAGGTGTTTTTCATCGTGTCACTCTGAGACAATAAATTACTTTGAAAATGGCAATATGAATTTTTGCTTTTCTATTTCTGCAAGTTTCTTTTTGCAGAAACATTTTTCTCAAATGGCTTCACTCTCTTTAAATGTCTTTGAAAATAGAAAGATGTGTATTTTTATATTATAATGCAGCATTTAATTTCTTTTTTCTTTTACAACGAGGAACTCTTCTTGTAGATTACAGTAAACACACCATAACATAACAGCTTAATGGTAGAAAAGGAACAGAGACCCTGATTTCTTACTCTGTCCATTTTCAGAGTAATAATCAATACCATAATTGACGGTGTGCAACCTGTAAAATCATTCAGTACATATAGAGGTAGGGGACGAGTGTAGTGACACTGATGTCGAAATGGGGACTGCGGATATTTTGTTTACTAATCACTGCAGCACAATATTGTTATTATGTATAATATAAAACTTCAGTGTACCGTAAAAATGTTTATCTTAATCACGATTGGCTTGGAGCGCTGAAAGCCAACATCAGTGTAGATAATTAAACAGCTCTTTTATCCACTTCAGCATTTAGTACTTGTGTCACTGAAATGTTGTGTTTATGTGGTTGTATTGTGCAGAGCTGTGTTGCCCTTACCTCGATACGACGAGGGGCAAAATTAACATCTTCAGCATCCTCATTAGCAGCTCTCCTGGAAACTGGAAGTACTTGACCTCCTGCAGGCAGAAGAGAAAAGCTGTTTTGTTTTGTTTTTTACTTTGCCAACAAATCTGAGGTCAAACACCATGTCAACATCATTATTATTACTGCAACACAAATTGTAAAATGACATCCTCTCTAAATCAGACATTGCCTTCTTTTTGTAACTTACCAAACAGACCCTTTTTAGTATACAACTGCCCTTTAGATTACACTTTCCCATGTAAAGATGACTTCAACACAAAACCGATTGGATCTGAAGAAACGCTCCGAGCCTTGCAAACCTCTTAGGTCACTTGGTATGGACCTTTTAGTTTTAACACTATATTCAGTCACTTTCAGATTACATGTTATCTGTTGCTTTTTTTTTTGCAACCAAAGGCTAAAGTTGTTTTCAAGATCCAACATCAATATCAGTAACATCATTTTGCGTTCAATAACTGAACAGGCCTCAGTGTGTCTTTTGTGCATGTGTTGCCATCTTTCTGATTTTTCTGGCTAAAAAAACTTCTACACTGGCTCAAAACACAATGGCTGAAAAGCAAGGACAAGGACGGCGTTAAACATGTACTATTTTAGAGCTCTATTCATAGTACGGCTAAAAAGCACTGAACCAATCACACTGAATCATAATTTGACGTAATCCCACGTTCAAAGAATTTTTCCATTATTTTCAACTAAAATTTTGAGTGACGTAGGTTGAGTTAGAATTTTCATCCCTTTATTTTCCATCCATCCATCCATCTTCTTCCGCTTATCCGGGGCCGGGTCACGGGGGCAGCAGCCCAAGCAGAGAAGCCCAGACCTCCCTCTCCCCAGCCACCTCCTCCAACTTTTCCGGGGGAACACCAAGGCGTTTCCAGGCCAGCCGAAGGATATAATCTCTCCAGCGTGTCCTGGGTCTGCCCCGGGGCCTCCTCCCTGTGGAACATGCCTAGAATACCTTACCCAGGAAGTGCCCAGGAGGCATCCTTATCAGATGCCCGAATCACCTCAACTGATTCTTTTCGATGTGACAGAGCAGCTGCTCTACTCTGAGCACCTCCCAAATGGCCGAACTTCTGGCCCTATCTCTAAGGGAGAGTCCAGCCACCCTTTGGAGGAAGCTCATTTCTGCCGCTTGTATCCGCAATCTTGTTCTTTCGGTCACTACCCACAGCTCGTGACCATAACTGATCTAGGTCCCTACCCTCACCTATGGTTTATCCTCAGCTGTCAAAAACAAACAC